CTTACACTGGGAGTGATCCTGACTGGAAACAGCCCATTATTGCACTCCATTAATGTATCAGCAGCAAATGTTACTTCCACATGTTCTGTTATCACCACTGGTTTTACAGCCCATGTTTCAAAAGTGTCCACACTTCATCTTTGTCTTTCAACTTCCAAACCCCTGTTTACTACTACTACTACTACTAATACTGCTACTACTATTACTAATTTTACTTCTGATAAAACTTCTACTAATTCTGAAGAGAATGTCTGATCTTCACTGAAGTTTCAATTTTCATGTTTTTTATATTAGGGTCGTCAAATGTATCAAAAATCAGCTAATATTAGACTAGTGTCAAGTAAGTAAGTAGTAAGTAAGTAATCTTTATTTATATATAAATAAAGATTACTTACTTACTACTTACTTACTTGACACTAGTCTAATATTAGCTGATTTTTGATACATTTGACATCAAATGTATCATTTATTTATATATAAATAAAGATTACTTACTTACTACTTACTTACTTGACACTAGTCTAATATTAGCTGATTTTTGATATGTATCATTTATTTATATATAAATAAAGATTACTTACTTACTACTTACTTACTTGACACTAGTCTAATATTAGCTGATTTTTGATACATTTGACATCAAATGTATCATTTATTTATATATAAATAAAGATTACTTACTTACTACTTACTTACTTGACACTAGTCTAATATTAGCTGATTTTTGATATGTATCATTTATTTATATATAAATAAAGATTACTTACTTACTACTTACTTACTTGACACTAGTCTAATATTAGCTGATTTTTGATACATTTGACGACCCTAATATAAAAAACATGAAAATTGAAACTTCAGTGAAGATCAGACATTCTCTTCAGAATTAGTAGAAGTTTTATCAGAAGTAAAATTAGTAATAGTAGTAGCAGTATTAGTAGTAGTAGTAGTAGTAAACAGGGGTTTGGAAGTTGAAAGACAAAGATGAAGTGTGGACACTTTTGAAACATGGGCTGTAAAACCATATACCGCCTTTTCACTGCAGATCTGAGTCTCAAAGCGGTTTACAATTGTTAATTTTTTTGGGCATTTGTCTCTCACTCCACACAGAGATGGGAGCGGGGTCGCCAGTACAGGAGGCGCATGCTAGAACTATTGGACATATTTTTAGTGGTAGGGGAAACCGGAGTACCCGGAGGAAACCTACGCAGACACAGGGAGAACATGCAAACTCCACTCAGAAAGGCCCTGGTCCGACCGGGATTCGAACCCAGGACCTTCTTGCTGAGAGGCGAGAGTGCTATCCACTCAGCCACCGTGCCGCCCATGTCAAAACTACATACATTTGTTAAATGACTGAACCTTTTTTTAAATGCATCTATTCTGATGTTCTTCTGTGAGTCCAAGATAAATGTCCCTCTGGGGACAATAAAGTGTTTTCTTTTCTAAATAAATAAAAAAAAAGATATCAAAACTGCTTGAGAATTTCTTGATACTTTATTCAAATATATCAGAAGTAGCACAGTGGCCCCATAAAAAAAAGTTTTATTTTTGTAGGTTTAAAATAACCTTGTCTCCAAAAGCATTTATAAATATTCATGTGGTATTCAAAGTGATATTCAGTACTTTTTCTATTTCAAAATCAAGTTCTAAATATATGATCGTGCCAAGACTATTTTTAAAAAGCGATTCATTGAAAGTGAATTAATGGTCCATGACGCCCCCTACAGTCAGCCTACTTTTCTTCTTTCTTGTCTTTTCAAGAATCTCGTGGCATTTGGCGCATGGTCCTGATGTGGACATCAATTACATGTTTTGACCTTGTTCCGGTTAATCCCGGTCTGGTCTGGATTGGACTCGAATGTTCTCAGCCCCCAGTCACTAACTACACTTTAACAATAGATCCATGTCCCAGATCCATCACAGAAGCACGTTCTTCTCACGTCAGTAGTTTCTCTTGTTTTCCTTGTTCTGAGAGAAGATTCCATCTGAAGTGGAGGATGCAGTCCGTGCAGATGGAGTCAGCAGCTCTTGTGAGTAAGCAGTGTGGGAATAATTGATTACGAGGCATTTTCAGCCATTTTGAAAACATTGATCTTCTGCCTTGCAATATATCAAGCGCAAATATGAAAAATGATGTAACACCGCCATCTAGCGGTTTAAGATGGTCTGAAGACAAAGAACATTTCTAAATACCTACATAACAGATTAATGCCACTAAGCCCAACATTTAGAAATGACTTTCTGCTAATTAGTCTACGAGGCCAATTTATTTTATTGTTATTAAGCTGTGCATATGACAACACAATTAAAGACTCATTATCTGTGTCTATTATTTTTTTTGGTCATAGTATATTCTGCTAATGTACAACATTAACCATATACTTCTGTAAAACCCTCTCAGTGTATACTTTATAATTATGTATACTTATTTTTTGGGTACAAAGTATGACTTACTTAGTATTTACAGTCTCCCAAGTGCAATTATAGCCAACTCCTATGTGGCTCAGGTAAGATTTTGTGAGATTTTATGTTTGGTTATTTAGATTGACCAGAATTTATTATGTATTTATTATCTATGATGTTAAATAATGGATTATTTTCTTGTATCTTGTTTGATGTTTGCGTATCCTGAGTGCTCCTGTTCTGTAATGTGTGCAACGATGACACCGAAACTTCCCACTGTGGGATAAATTAAGGTTCTCTTATCTTATAAACATCTAGTTCTCTGATGCAAAATAGAGCTACACAAGGGTGTGCTCGTGTTTATGTGTGTACCATAGACTGTGTGTATGAAAGTAGGCTGATTTTTATAGCAAAACATGCAGAGTTACACCTTTCTGATTATTATTGACAACATTTCAGCCATTCAATTAATCAGCATTAGAATAATAACTATATGTTCGAAACGATTCCCTAATTTCTTTGAATATTACCTTCCTCTGGCGTTATTGCGATACCAGCATTCCATACTCGCTTTTTTAGATGAATAGACTCAGTACTCCAGAACTGACAAAAACAAAATCAAATCAGACATTTTTGTGACACCACTTTTTTTCCAGTTTTTCAAATGCCGTTCAACATTTAAAGCAGAGGAGACAGGGAGCTGCTGGTATCCAAGCTGATCAAAGATGGTCATGAACAAAAGAACAATAAAACATAATCAAGCACTCATGATTATAATAATAAAAATCTAAACTTCTTTATTAGAGGTGGTTGTCAGTTCAGAATTGCTCAGAAAATGCTCAGGAAAAATCAATTGGTTTGACACTAGTTTTATTATTGACTAATAACTAATTTGATTATTTTGACAACCTGACCCTCTTCTTCGTTTATCCCATCTATAGTTTATGTTGAAATTAGGACCAAACAATGCGGCACGGTGGCTGAGTGGATAGCACTCTCGCTTCTCAGCAAGAAGGTCCTGGGTTTGAATCCCGGTTGGAACAAGGCCTTTCTGAGTGGAGTTTGCATGTTCTCCCAGTGTCTGCGTAGGTTTCCTCTGGGTGCTCTGGTTTCCACTACTACTAAAAACATGCACAATAGGTCTGAATGTAAATGAGAGAGTGAATGGATGATGTTGATTGGAGGCTTTGATGCACCAGTGTGTTCGGCGACTCGCTTCCGTCATCACCGTGTGTGGAATGATTGGAACAATATCTAAACTCTGAACATTGTGAAGTGCTTTGGGTGAGCTTGGTCTGTAAAATGCGCTATATAAATAAATATTTCTTACTTACTAATGAACTGTTCTGGTCTGCTCCAAATGACTGAAGGTTTAAATACTTTGCTGTTACAATAATATCCCTAAAAGTATTTAAACTGGAACATGAATAAGCTGGTGGTTAATGTGTGTGCTGAACTTTAGTAACAATGTAAAGGTATTTGTGGTCAGACAAATCTTCTGGTCCAGTCCCACCAGGAGGGCTGTGACCGCCGGAGAGGGGTAATGCTCTTATCTTAGTGTGCATGTGGCTTAAGTCAAAGTGGCCATGATGTTTAGTCTGTTATCGTTAAACTAGCTCTGAATAACAGTTAGAGGACTATGTAGAAGTTCAGAAGAACACGCCGGTCGAGGGAAATGCAAAAAAGTACTCATTCAAATGTGTCTATTCAAATATTGCTTGGTTAATGTGCATGTATTTTATGTTTTAAAATAAGAGTTGTTTTGAAGTGACAAACATGTTTTCAGACATATCATGGAACACTTGAATACATGTGATACGAATTCGAAAGGGGCTACATACATATTTTACCTCAGAGAAATTGAGTCAATAATACAATATATTGAAAGTTTATGCAATGAATGATAAAAGAGAAAAGGAAAATGTGTTGAATCTAATCTGAATTAACTCAAACGTGTAGGAAAATCTGGTTCCGGTCTGAAGACAAATGTTAAGTGATTGATTGCACTGTTGACCTAGAAGCAGCAAACAAACCAAATGCACTCCTAAACTCTGGACATTTTCCAACCGGTCGAAGCCAGGTTAATCCCACACTGTGTATTGATAGAGGAGAGAGACCCACAAGGAGTCAAATATAAGTAAGAGAAGTTAGTTTGAATGTTTAGTCTAAATACTGAAAAGGTAGGTGACCATGTGCGTGAGACCATATGTGCAACAGTGGCATAGGCAAATGCACGAAGGAGGAGGGGAGCTCTGTGATTGGTCAGCTCGTCCGTGATGCGAGCGGCTTGTTGGATTGAAGTGCTGTGTCCTGTTGAATTTAATCCTAACTCATTAAGGAACAGTGAGCATGTGGCCGTGATCAGCCTCAGGGGAGAGAGAGAGAGAAAGTGTCACAAAGAAGGAAGCAGCACTAAACCATTCTTCAAGGGAGATAAGTGGACCTAATTTACAGCTTTGTGAGGCACACACCACAAAGCAAGTTTTTTTTTTCATTCATTATTTTTCTCCCATGCCTGCTACAGCCCATCCTGACTGCTTTTGTGGTTACTAAAGCTCTTTTTAATTACTCATAGGTGTGGCCCGCGGTGAAGCATGCCCACCAACGGGATTAACAAGGCCTTGAAGTTGCAGTTTGGCCTCATCAACTATGAGAACCGCTACCTGACAGCAGAGGCCTTTGGTTACAAGGTGAACGCCTCAGGAAACAGCATGAAGAAGAAGCAGATCTGGACGCTGGAGCACGACGAGCACGACGGGCAAGTGGTGTTCCTGCGCAGCCACCTGGGACGCTACCTGGGCTCGGACAAGGACGGGAAGATTTCATGTGGGGCGGAAAAAACAGAGGCCGAGTGTAGGTTTGTCATTGTGCCCCAGTCTGACGGTCGCTGGGCCCTACAGTCAGAGTCATACCAGCGTTTTTTTGGAGGGTCGGCCGATTATCTCTCCTGCTTTGCTCAGGTCATAGGGGAGCAGGAGCTGTGGGCAGTTCATTTGGCACTTCACCCACAAGCCAGTTTGCTCAGTGTTGCACGCAAACGCTACGCCCATCTGTCCGCCACAGATGGGGAGATCTCGGTGGACAGTAACATCCCCTGGGGAGTGGACTCGCTGGTCACCTTGGTGTATGCCGACGGCAAGTACAACCTAAAGACCTGCGACAGTCGCTTCCTCAGCAACGATGGGAAACTGGTGAAGGAGAGCAGCAGCAGCACGAGCTTCACGCTGGAGCTCAAGTCGGGGAAACTGGCCTTCAAAGACTGTGAGGGGAAGTATCTGAGTCCTGTGGGGCCCACCGGCACGCTCAAGTCCGGACGCTGCTCCAAACCGGGGAAAGATGAGCTATTTGACCTGGAGGAGAGTCACCCACAAGTAGTCTTTCAAGCTGCCAATAAACGATTTGTCTCAGTCAAACAAGGTACTGAGACCGTGATCCACATTATCCACTTTCCATTTTATAGGAGTAGGTCTATTTGCTTCCCATGAACTTATCTTTCAACTAGAACTCACTAGTCATCAGAAGCAAATCTAGAACGATATCATTTGAATAGTCAATGAGAGGTAAATGTGTCACGCTCCGGAAAGGTCCTTGAGATGTCAACTCTTCCTCAAAGGGCATTAGCACCCTCATCCTCGCACTAGTGACACAACCTTGGCTGGACTAGATACTATAAACTCAATAAAGATCTGTCACTTTAGAAAGAGGACTTTTTACACTTGGAAGTGACTATAAGAATGAGATGACGTGCATACATTATTATATATTTTAGCACATTCCCCTTGTTGTAATTGTTGTGTATGACTATTAGAGGTTGAAACATAGAGCTCCCTCTTCTTAGGTAGTAGCCGGACACTCTGAGGTATTTGTTGTAATGGGCTTTGTCATCTCCACTGTGTCCATTGAAGATTAAGCTGCGTGCAAATGACTTTGGGGCAGTTCCATGGCCCACAGGTGTAAATTACATTCAATGGTCCTTAAGCCTTGTAGTTACAGCTCTTAAGCTTCATCGTCAACATACAATGTCTTAAATGTCTCAGTGGGATAAAACAATACATAAATACAGTAAAATGTAATTATTTAAATGTATGACCATAAAAAATAACGTAATGTTATGTGATATAATATAATATGTGTAATATATTGAGATCTGCTCCTATAGGATGTTATGCAGAACCATAAACTGTTAGATTTTTGTAATAGATCATTTAAATCAAGAATGAACGTCATCAATTAAAACTGTGGGACTTATAATTCTATTGTTTGGTTAGTGCAATGTAATGTTTTAAGGAGCAATGGACAGAAAGCTGCTTAGTGGGCCCTGCAGTGCAGATTTGCATTTCACCACTCAGGGACTTAGAGCAGGTGCATGAAGGGGGTGGAGGGGTGACTGCAGGATTAGGGTTGTAACAGGCTTAAGAGAAAGGCTGGAGGATAATTCAGTGGCACCTAATGTGAACTGCAGCCTCAAAATGATATTTGTCTGTGCATTGGGCTCCACATGAAACCTGAAGACATATAACATGTAATCAAGACATGCACTCACCTCAGTGTGAGGTGTGACCAAGTCCTTGTTTAAGAGCCATTAACAAAAGACATGGAGAACTCAGCAACAGTGAGTGCTTATTCCAGAGACTTTATAAAGAGCATAATTACATACCAAGTTTTAGCATTTAAAGAATCATGGTTGGACAATTGAAAAGGCCATTTAAGTTCGACATTTGCAGCCCTGCAAATGTCGAACTTATACCTTATACCTTCACCATGAGGATGAAGGTATAAGGTATGATGGCTTTCCTGAGTAAACCATTTGTATTTTAACTCTTATAACTCTTGTAACTATAACTTTTAAGCTATATCCTGTTTTTGCTTCAAATCTTGTCCAGCTCATATGTAACATAGCAATAACACAGTGTAAATAAATATTCGCTGCATGCAACACTGACATGTTACCATGGCTGCAATGGGGCATTGATGCATACATTAAAGAAAGTATTTATTGTACTCCCCATAAAGTAGAAATTGTAGAATTTACTTTGAAAAAGAAGGAATTGTAGGAAAAATATGACAATGAGTTATGATTATAAACTCAGTCCTTCTTTCCAGGAGTGAGCATTTCGGCCAATCAGGATGTGGAGACCGACTTGGAGACCTTTCAGATGGAAATCGACAAAGAGAGTAAAAAGGCCATATTCAGGACTAATGGTGGATCTTACTGGACCCTGGTGACTCACGGAGAGATCCAGTCCACTGCCACTGAAACGTAAGTGTTCTCTCAGATACACGGCTTTCTTTCCACTTCCATCTTCATTTGCTCTTTTTCCTGCTCCTAGAGAAGTAAACACTATGTTCGACATCGAGTGGAGAGGTCAGAGAGTGGCCCTGAAAGCCAGCAACGGGAAATACATCTGCACCAAGAAGAACGGGCAGCTGTCTGCAGTCAGCGACTCTGTTGGTGCGTGTTTTAGCTCTTTATCCAACATATATATGTATAAAACAAGTATTGACATTTTGTTTAATCTCAGGTGATGATGAGTTGTTTCTGATGAAGCTCATAAACCGGCCCATCCTCATCCTCCGTGGAGAGAATGGCTTTGTGTGTCACCACAAGAACTCCAACACACTAGATGCAAATCGATCTGTGTACGACATATTTTCATTGATTTTCAGCGATGGAGCGTACCACATAAAAAGTCAGTATTTCAAGCAACCGTGTTTTTTTGCTTCAGATGCAAAAAAAAAACTTTCATGGCATTTTCTCTTTATTTACACTTTATTTACACTTTAGTACACATTATTTAGACATACAGTCACTGTCAAAGCTATCATATTATCTAACAAACTATACTAACTATTAATACTCACATTACCATAATATATCCACTAGTGTTAATGCAATGCCACAGCCCAATCTAATTACAAACTTTTATTTTTGTGCAATTGTGGGAACTAGCACAGAGAACAGAACACAAACACAGCTGAGCATTGTAAGATTAAGAAAGGTCCTTTATTCATCCTGCAGTGGGGAAATTCCAGTGTTGCATCACCAGTGACAGAACAGTAGGAATGAGGAGCACACAGCACAAGATAAATGAACAATCACTCTATACTATATAAAATAAAATAAAATCTCCAGCATCAGAAAGAAACAAGTAGAAAATCTCTATCTTTAGCCTGATAAGTACAAAAACCCTGACTTTAGAATCATAAAGAAGTATATCATCTCTACCTTTGGCATAATATGAAGAAAGTATAAAGTACTGTGTAAAGTAATGTATAGTAAAGTAGTGCAAGTAATAAAAAGTTGTATGTTTACATCTGTAGATTGTTGCGAATTTTCTCGTGTTATGGTTTATAAATATTGTCTAGAATTGAATGGAAGATGCAGAGCTATAACATTATTTTTCTTCGAACAGGTGCAACTGGGAAATACTGGAACGTGTCCAGTAACGGCCTGGTGGCTTCAGACGGAGACAATCCTGAGGAGTTTTTCTTGGAGTTTGTAGAACACGGACGAGCCGCCATCAAATGCAGCAACGGGAAATACCTGCGTGGAGACCAGGGCGGTACTCTGATGGGTGACGGTGCTAACGTAGATGCTATGTCCATGTGGGAGTACTGACCGCTGCTATTGCTACAGAGAAACATGAACTCTACTGCACTTTGGCCAAATCATGTAAATGTTAAGATGATGGATGCACGGCGCAACATCAGTATCAGTTTTTTGAAAATGCTTCAGTGAATGATCAGTGGTGGTAATATATCTCATGTTAAACTCATCTCAAATGACCAGTGTAGCTACAGCAGTGCGTATCATCTTTCCCTTTCCCTCCACACCTGCTTCTGTCCAAACAACAGCATTTCAGAATTTGAATCTTCTCGTTACCGATGTCCTTTTCTGCGAACTAAATTTAAATATGGCAGATGAGTCATGCCAGTCGTGTCGTGTTTACATAGATTGTCCATTCAAGGCTTTCCTTTTCTGAAAGAGGCAAAATAATGTTTGTAGAACTCACTATGGTTGCTTTTGTTGCTCTTAAATACATAGAGCGTAGGCCTACAAAGTTGAATAAGGCGTTTATAATTGAGCACAACAACAGTGTTTTCCCTTGAGCCTTAATTGTTTGTTATTTTCTATTCTACCATTCAACCCTGCCACGGAAAAAAATACAATTCCATGATTGATCTCTGAGTTTGCATTTGAAAAATAGGATGTGATGCACAATTACAAGTGAAGAAAGTCATTTTGTCGAGATGCCTTTGACTGCACTTGGTTCTATAAAAGTTCCAAACTAGGCCAATGTTGTCTTTATTTTATTACTAAATTATTAATATAGTAAATTATGTGAGTCTTACTTGCACCAGAATGTTGAGTTTAGTTCAGAAAATTGATCACAATTTGCCGTTCTCAAAAGAAAGTACATTTTTGTATATTGTAACTTGATATATCGATATAGAATGTTCCATATCATGGGATTTGTGATTAACTGCGGTTAGGTCAGACTTTGCGACAGATTCTTTTTTATGTAAATTACAAATGTTTCTTTACGATGTGTTATAATGGTGATAATAAACTCTCTTTCATCTTCTCGAGTTACATCTAGTTTTATTTGTCTGTACAATATCTGCATATACACTAACATCTTTAGAATAAGCAATATTTACAGACAGAATAACACCCCACACTAAAGCTGTTTTTTTTTAGTTCCATGAATACATTTTGTTTTTCCCAATAGAGTTTTGTTTTGAGTCTTGATTTTGTGAACGAATCAGACCACAAAATGCTGTCTTTGGCTGAGTGGTTCATACATGTGAAAACTAGTGATAGAACCAAACTCATTTGAGAGCGAGGAGCGAGTTAGATTTGTATTTTTTCTGACACATTGTTTGAAAAAGACAAGAGGGCATTAGGCGCAATGACCAAGGAAATGGAAAAGTATTTGGTATTACTATGATTTAGTTTAAATGTAATGCATGGTGATCATAGATATTGCCTTTTCATTTGTCAGTTGTTTGGTGGAGATGAGACGACACGCAGGCAGTTTCACGTGAGTCCTCTAGAGGGCAGTGTCGCCGTGTGTGCGCTTGGCCCTCTGCCCTCTCCAGTTTGTGCAGTAATCAGCACCTGCGCGGTCTCCATCAGCAGGGAACGTTTCACAGGAAGCTTCTGCTCTCCTCCTAATTACAATTTTCCACTCCACCCTGAGATCTATTCTAAATCTGCTCATTCTGATGTTTAATTATTATTATTGATTTGTTTTAGCACAGAGCAGTTTTGTGTGGCCATTTCCTCATTATGCAAAATCCCCTCGTTTGAATGTGTAATTGCTTTGGCATGTGTTCGAGCGTTTATATGCATGGATAGACTTAGCTGTCATTAGAACAACTTCTGAACCACTGGGATAGAACGAGCTTAACAGTGTAGCCTGCTGCAGGTTGATACAAGTGAACTTTCTGACCCAGAGCTTTTCCTCTGTGTAAACTCCACTGCAGCAGGTAAACAGCACAATTATCTCACTGTGCCCACATGTAAATCATTTCCATGTCTTCCTCCGATATTTCACAGACTAGCTTTTTATATAATCCATCCATCCATTATCTACCCCTTAATCCATTTCTGGGTCAGGGGGGTGGCAGTCAGAGATGCCACCCAAGTCTCATAGCACCAGCTATGAGACTGACCCTCTGCAGGTGGTGAGTCCACAGGAGGACGGCTGCTCTCTGAGTGTGAGCATAGCCTTGATCTTTCAGCGGGGGCTTTGGGCAATTAGGGGTTAAGTGTCTTGCCCAAGGACACAACGACAGCAGTCATCAGTGGGAGTCGGTGGAGAAGGTGTTGGGGTGGGAATTTTTATATAATATAATAATGTAATATATAAATATAATGTATGTAATGTATAATATAATAATTAGCAGTGATGATAATAGATTTTGTAATGATAAAACTAATACATGAATATGTACAGTATGTCAGATCTGTGCAGAGGTCGCATGTATGGAGCATGTATATTTTAATCCATGTAGGTAACATTGAATGTTTACTGTCATGCAATGGAACACAAGAGAAGCAACAACATTATTGTCTTTCACTGTACACTAACTGCTCCTTGGGGTCAGTGAAGAAGCTGTGGCTCAGATCGGCTGTACAGATACACAACTTAAACAGACAGAAGATGGTATAGAAGAAAGCCTGATGGATCCAAAGCCTTATCAGTCCAGTATAAAGTGAGAAGAAAAGACGGTGGTCTTATGTAAGAATATTATGTGATGCAGGATTCTTCTCATTTTAAATGTACGCCATTTGCAACAGCAGCTGCGTGAGTGTAGTGGTACGCGCGTGCCCACTGGTGGCCAATCACGCTGCGGCAGGGCCTTGATTACGGGAACTAGTTTCACCTGTCGCGTCTCTCTCCTCACCTCTGGCGTCTGCATGCTGCGTGGCGATCTACTTGGCTTCGTGTGCTGGCGTGCGGGCCATCCTTATTTGTTTGGCATTGAGTACATTGCACTTGCGGGTTTTTGCGCTTGCTCAGACCTGTTGTCGGATTTAGAGCGCCTCCTCGGTGAGTACTGGGACACTCCCATTCATAAATTGTTCCTTCAGAAGGCCTAACTCGGCTTCGTTTTTAGGCAGCGGTGCAGGCTTGTGGGCTGCATTAATTCCCTGCAGTGTGTACAAATACGGGGAATGTGAATATTTCCATCTTGGTAAGCCATTTCATCATTCGTATCAGTTGATCTGACATATGTATTATATATATTATATATATATATATATATGTATATATATATATATTATGTATGTGTATACGATTTGTGTTTATTTATTTAGATATATATTTATACATATATTAATATGGGCTTTCATTCAGTGGTGTGCGCCCCGCCTGGGTTAACGGGCACCTTCACGCTACACTCTAAAACGGCAAGATCTTGGTATGTATGGTTCTACAGTTCATAGCCTAGGTGTATATCTCTCTATCAGTCTCTCTCTCTCTGCTCTCGCTCTTGCGCGCTTTGCTCTTGCTCCCTCTTTCACTCTCTGGTTCTCTCTGCTCTGGCGCTCGTTTTCTGCGCTCTCTCTCTCTCTCTCTCTCTCTCTCTCTCTCTCTCTCTCTCTCTGCTCTCGCTCTTGCGCGCTTTGCTCTCGCTCCCTCTCTCACTCTCTGGTTCTCTCTGCTCTGGCGCTCGTTTTCTGCTCTCTCTCTCGCTCTCTCGCTCTCTCGCTCTGCGCTCTTTGCGCTCGCTCCCTCTTATTTAGCTTTAATAAACTTAATTCTCAGTGTAGATCCGACGAGCCTCCCCTTCTCCCGTGAGCGGCCCCTTTCAGAGCTTCTCCTTCGGGGCCTCCACTTATGTGACCATCCCTGGGCAACACTCACCCTGCGTTGTGGGCTGTCTACCTGGCCCTTGGACCTACGGCTAACCAGACCACTGATTTTAGCACTCGGACTGGCGCTCTCCCAGGCAGACTGGTAACGTTGGTAGGGAGTTTAGTCTATAGGTGAAGATGTAATAACTGCTGCTGCTGCTGTTTCCCCCTGAGGTCACGGTTATTTTGTTTTGTTAAGGTTTATAAAGTATTTTAAGATCTGTGAAAGTGAACATGTGTCCATGACTAATTTAAGAAAATTGTGAAAATAAATATATATTTTTTATAATCCTCTCGTACTCTCTCTCGTACTCTTCAGTCCAACGAACCTTTGTGCCCTTACTGCGGGGGGGGTTATTTTGTGTTACTGCTCGTAACAAGTGGCTATTATTGGTCCTGGGGCCATCTCCCCAGGTGGCGTTGCTGTACATTGGGCTATTATCCAAAAGATTAATTATATTGTTGTACCCTAACCACTACACCGCCACATTCTGGCGTGTGCTGGCAGGATGGACTGAACGAGTACAGAGACTATATTTTTATGTAGTATGCGGACACGAGACAGAGATTACATTAAGGTGCAAATTTCCTAAAGCGATGGTGATAAGTGGGAAAGCAGCAGAGAAGCGCTCATCATATGCATTGTCATTCTGATTTAAATTTTTGTTATGCATGGTGTGTATTCAACTTGAAGTGTTTTATCTTGATGTGTTTATTTCCTGTATATTGCATGATTTGTTTGTTTTTTTGGACATGCATGATGTGTAAAATCTCCGTGGAATTTCTATTTTGAAAACGTATTGCTGGGGGTAAAAGTAAAACCACATTACTAATGTAATAACTCTTGTCTGTTGTACAGTGCCAGGGATTGACGGTAAGCAGCAGTTTATTTTGAAAATGGAAGAGCAGTTGAGAGAGTTACAGGAAGCAGTAGCCCAATTGAAGGCAGAAAACGAACGGCTGCGCCGAGAGCGTCAACAATCTGCCTCCGATGTTGGTGCAGGGACTTCCACTTCCTCTGAACCTGTTGCCACTTCTCGCGCTAATGCAGGGATTGACCGGCTGGTTTTCATCCCACGAGATCGTAAATGCCCAATGTTTCGGGGTAGAATAGGCATTAGTTTGGGAGAGTGGTTAGAAGAAGCTGAAGCTTGCATGAGAGTTAGACATTTGTCCCAACTAGATAGGGCGTTTTTTATTTTTGATCATTTAGAAGGGGAGGCTCGTGAGGAAATAAAATTCCGCTCAGCGGAGGAACGAAGGGACCCAACCAAGATCATTGAGATTCTACAGGAACTTTATGGCTGTAGAGAGTCTTATGTGGCACTGCAGGAGGCGTTCTTTTCTCGTCGACAACAGGAGGGAGAAACCTTGTTGGAGTACTCCCTTGCCCTGAAGTCTTTGATGGAAAGGGTGAAGTCACGTGCCCCCGATAATGTTCCAAATTCTGAAATTCTTTTGCGTGACCAATTTGTCGAACACGTGTTAGATGGCGCTTTACGTCGTGAGTTAAAACAGTTTGTGCGTCGTACTCCTGCGGCTTCACTGCTAGATGTCAGAGGTGAGGCGATAAGATGGGAGCGTGAGGGGTTGCCAGTGGGTATGCGCGGCCGGAGCAATTCGGTCCCTTCAGCTTTGGGTATTCAATATATGGTTCGGGGTGGCCACCAACAGTTGGATGACCCACCCATCACGGAGGTACGTGAGGTGAAAGAGCTTCTGCGGCGCCAGCAGGAACAGCTGGACCGACTGACGCAGAGCATCTCTCAGTTACAGACATCTCGCTTGCACAACCGCCCCTCGTACACACGTGGACGTTCCCCACGCTCGGGCCCCATAATTTGCAACCGTTGCCAACAGCCGGGACACATCGCTCGAGATTGTGATGGGCAGCGCGTGCCTTCGCGTCCACTGTCGATGACACGTGGTCAGGTTGAGCCACGGCAACCCTCGGAAAACTAGCGCCCACCGCGTTGCCGAGCCACAGCTCGGGTGGGGCACCCACTGGCTCAGAGGATTCAAGGATGAGAATGGAAGACGTTCCGAGTCTGATTTCCACGTGTCCGTATGTCGACGTAGGTATGGGAGGCGCCCCCGTACCTTGTCTGGTCGACACCGGATCCATGGTTTCCACGATTACGGAAAGCTTCTTTCACAAGAACTTTAAACCATGGGGTGATGAACGCCTTAAAGCATGCCATTGGTTGGAGCTCAAGGCCGCCAACGGGTTGGCGATCCCCTATATGGGCTACCTTGAACTCGACGTTGTCCTATGCGGGAAGTTGATGCCTCGTTGCGGTGTTTTGGTGGTAAAAGATCCACCGGGGCGAGTTGCATCTAAAGTCCCAGGTATCCTGGGAATGAACATCATTAGCAAATGTTACCAAGAGTTGTTCGGTCAGCTCGGACCTACTTTGTTCAAGGAAGCTTCAGAATCCTTCCCAATCCCGTTAGTCGAGGCCCTGCAGAAATGTCACTTTGCTAGCAGTAGATATGTCCCAGCACAACCAGGCAAAGTAAGGGTTCGGGGAAAGGGGGCTTGTCGTATTCCTGGCGGGGCAATGAAGATTGTGACTGCAACTTGTTCAGAGCATTTCTCCGAGGGGACTGCATTGTTTGAGCCACCAGAGTCCGGCTTACCTGCGGGCCTTCTAGCCTCTCCGGCTCTGGTCCGTGTTAGTAGAGGAACCGCTTACGTCCCCGTGGTGAACGTTGGGGTTACTGACGTGCTCTTATATTCTCGAACTGTCATCGGGCACGCTGGATGGCGTAAACGTAGTCAGCCTGCCATCTGGCATTGCAGAGGTTTCGTCCATTTCTGCCCAACCAGCCTTGCAGACTGGCTCCTCTGTTCTTGAGCAGATTGACGCAATTGATCTTTCGCACTTGCCACCCGAAGAACGCGATGCGGCTTGGTCTTTGCTTCGGGAACATTCGTCTGTCTTCTCTGCTAACGAGCAAGACCTTGGTTGTACCAACCTAATTTCACACGACATTCCCTTGTTGGACAACACTCCCATTCGGCAACGTCATCGCCGTATCCCGCCATCGGAATATGAAGTTGTGAAGGAACACATCAATCAGTTGCTTGAGGCGCAAATTATAAGGGAGAGCTCTAGTCCCTACGCCTCACCAATAGTGCTAGTTCGTAAAAAGGACGGCAGCTTACGACTTTGTGTGGGATTATAGGCAGCTCAATTCTAGGACTAGAAAAGATGCGTTCCCTCTTCCGCGAATTGAAGAAACCTTGGACTCCCTTTCGGGAGCTTGCTGGTTTTCCGCGATGGACCTTGCAAGTGGATACAACCAGGTGCCAGTTGCTGAGGAGGACAAACCTAAGACCGCGTTTTGTACTCCCTTCGGGCTATTCGAATGGAATAGGATGCCTTTTGGCCTCTGCAACGCGCCCAGCACGTTTCAGAGGCTGATGCAGAGGATTTTTGGGAGTCAACAGGGCCAGTCTTTATTGCTATATCTGGACGATATTGTTGTCTTCTCTTCTGACATCCATCAGCACCTGAGTAGACTGGACGGAGTGTTAAGCAGGCTGTACGCAGAGGGTCTTAAAGTTAAACTTTCAAAGTGTAGTTTTTTTTTAAGCGTGAAGTTCACTACTTGGGACATGTCATTTCTGGTCAGGGCGTTTCCACCGACCCTGGGAAGATCAAGGCCGTCGTTGATTGGCCCGTGCCCACAACTGTCTCAGAGCTTCGCTCATTCATTGGCTTTGCGAGTTACTATCGTCGGTTTGTGGAAGGGTTTGCGAAGCTAGCCGCACCCTTGCATCGGAAAGTGGCTGAACTATCTGGCAGGTCTAAGAGAGCAGGAAGGTGCGAACTCGAGAGTTGGGACCAGGAGTGCCAGATCAGTTTCGATGAGCTCAAGGCAAAATTCACCAGTGCACCTGTGTTGGCATACGCAGACTTCAGCTTACCGTTCATCCTCGAAGTGGACGCAAGCTTTTGTGGCTTGGGGGCAGTGCTCTCCCAGGAGCAAGGTGGGAGAGTACGACCCATTGCCTACGCGCAAGTCGGGGGCTGCGAAAGACCGAACGAAACATGTCGAACTATAGTTCGATGAAACTCGAGCTCCTCGCTTTGAAAGTGGGCAATAAGCGAGAAATTTAGAGAATATCTTCTTGGTCACAAGTGTGTGGTATACACAGATAACAATCCGTTGAGTCATTTGTTGACCGCAAAGCTTGGTGCTGTGGAGCAGCGCTGGGCTGCACAACTTGCGTCATTTGATTTTGAGTTAAGATATAGGTCTGGCAAAAGCAATGGAAATGCGGACGCACTGTCGCGTCAGAAAGATCCCAGTTCGCAGGACCTGGGTGCTTTGGCCTCTGCCTCGTTGGTTCCACTTTCTTTGCGCCAATCTGCGCCATTGCAAATGGTTGAGGTGACTCAGACTGTGATGGTTGCCTTGCCTAGTCATTCCCCAGGTGATGTCAAAGCCCTCCAGGATTCTGACCCACTAATCCAGGAGGTAGCCTCCTTTTGGAGGCAACATCGATTGCCCAGCGTAAACGAGAAGAAAGTCCTTTCTCCTGCTGCCTTGGTTCTTCTCAGACAGTGGGATCGGTTGGTCGAGAGAAACGATTTGTTGTATCGCAAGTCTTACCGCCCTGACGGTGGCGAGGCAGTGTTCCAATTGCTCTTGCCCACAGCCATGGTTGAGGAGGTTTTGACTCAAGTACACCAAGATCACGGGCATCAGGGGGTTGAGAGGACCCTGGCCCTGCTACGTTCACGCTGTTACTGGCCAGGAATGGCCAAGGCAGTTAGACAGTGGTGCGGGCAATGTGAGCGTTGTCAGATTGCCAAGGACTCCCGTCCCCCAGCTCGTGCTTTCATGAGCCATCTTCTGGCCTCCAGGCCTAACGAAATCATTGCTCTCGACTTTACTCTGTTGGAACAGTCCCGGAGAGGGCTTGAGAACGTGCTTGTCATTACAGACGTGTTTAGCAAATACACGTTGGCCATTACAACGCGTGATCAGCGTGCAATGACCGTTGCTGAGGTTCTTGTTTCTGACTGGTTCTCCAAATTTGGCGTACCATCTCGAATTCATTCAGACCAAGGACGTAGCTTCGAGAGCCTTCTAATGCAGCAACTCTGCCGGCTGTATGGTATCACCAAATCTCGAACAACTCCTTACCACCCAGCAGGAAACGGACAGTGCGAGCGATTCAATCGCACCCTGCACAACCTCCTTGCACTTTGCCTCCATCAAGAAAGCATGACTGGTGCGCTTGTCTGCCCCAAGTACTTTACGCGTACAACACCACGCCTCACCAATCCACAGGGGAATCTCCCTTCTACTTAATGTTTGGTCGGGAACCAAGACTACCAGTCGACTTCTTGTTAGGCCAGGTCGAAGATCCTCTTGGTGGTGATCCCCACGAGTGGATTTTGGAACATCAAACCCGACTGCAATTAGCTTTCGAGGGAGCTAGGGAACGGTTAAGGCTTGCGGCAGAGCGTCGCAAAGTGCCACACGATCAGGCGGTACGTGATGAACCCTTGCCGGAAGGAGGAATGGTCCTGGTCCGCAACACTGGTGTGAGGGGTCGTTGCAAAATCCAGGACCTGTGGTCATCAGTTCCACAGATCGTCCTGCAAGCTCCAAGGGATGGTGGGGCAGTATACACCATTGCCCCAGTGGATGACCAGACGAAAGTAAAGAGAGTCCACCGTTCTTTAGTCAAGGCTTGGGCTGGAGCGAATCCTTTTGAGGGTGTGCCACGCCAATCAGCGGTCAGCAATCTCCGGCCGGGTGACTAATCATCTGGGGATGAGGACTTGTGTTACGTGACACCTGGACCGGGTGGCTCTGTTGGGCCGGGGCCCTCGCAGTTGGGTCCGGCACCTGTACGGGAGTTGGAAGAGCTGGTTGCTGGACCCTCGGCCAGACAGAGACCATCTTCACCTGGTCAGTCTTCAGCGGCTAGGTCAGTCGATACGAGTATTAGGAGATCTGCACGCCCCACAGCTGGTCGTCACCCTAACCCTCATAATTTGCCTCGGTCTGCGTTGGGCACCTAACCCATTTTGTATTTGGAAACTGCTGTCCTATTCAGCTGAAACTAAGATCGATCGCCGGGTCGACGATCCAATTGGGGGGGGTAGAGTGTAGTGGTACGCGCGTGCCCACTGGTGGCCAATCACGCTGCGGCAGGGCCTTGATTACGGGAACTAGTTTCACCTGTCGCGTCTCTCTCCTCACCTCTGGCGTCTGCATGCTGCGTGGCGATCTACTTGGCTTCGTGTGCTGGCGTGCGGGCCATCCTTATTTGTTTGGCATTGAGTACATTGCACTTGCGGGTTTTTGCGCTTGCTCAGACCTGTTGTCGGATTTAGAGCGCCTCCTCGGTGAGTACTGGGACACTCCCATTCATAAATTGTTCCTTCAGAAGGCCTAACTCGGCTTCGTTTTTTAGGCAGCGGTGCAGGCTTGTGGGCTGCATTAATTCCCTGCAGTGTGTACAAATACGGGGAATGTGAATATTTCCATCTTGGTAAGCCATTTCATCATTCGTATCAGTTGATCTGACATATGTATTATATATATGTATATATATATTATATATGTGTATATATATATATTATGTATGTGTATACGATTTGTGTTTATTTATTTAGATATATATTTATACATATATTAATATGGGCTTTCATTCAGTGGTGTGCGCCCCGCCTGGGTTAACGGGCACCTTCACGCTACACTCTAAAACGGCAAGATCTTGGTATGTATGGTTCTACAGTTCATAGCCTAGGTGTATATCTCTCTATCAGTCTCTCTCTCTCTCTGCTCTCGCTCTTGCGCGCTTTGCTCTTGCTCCCTCTTTCACTCTCTGGTTCTCTCTGCTCTGGCGCTCGTTTTCTGCGCTCTCTCTCTCTCTCTCTCTCTCTCTCTCTCTGCTCTCGCTCTTGCGCGCTTTGCTCTCGCTCCCTCTCTCACTCTCTGGTTCTCTCTGCTCTGGCGCTCGTTTTCTGCTCTCTCTCTCTCTCTCTCGCTCTCTCGCTCTCTCGCTCTGCGCTCTGCGCTCTTTGCGCTCGCTCCCTCTTATTTAGCTTTAATAAACTTAATTCTCAGTGTAGATCCGACGAGCCTCCCCTTCTCCCGTGAGCGGCCCCTTTCAGAGCTTCTCCTTCGGGGCCTCCACTTATGTGACCATCCCTGGGCAACACTCACCCTGCGTTGTGGGCTGTCTACCTGGCCCTTGGACCTACGGCTAACCAGACCACTGATTTTAGCACTCGGACTGGCGCTCTCCCAGGCAGACTGGTAACGTTGGTAGGGAGTTTAGTCTATAGGTGAAGATGTAATAACTGCTGCTGCTGTTTCCCCCTGAGGTCACTGTTATTTTGTTTTGTTAAGGTTTATAAAGTATTTTAAGATCTGTGAAAGTGAACATGTGTCCATGACTAATTTAAGAAAATTGTGAAAATAAATATATATTTTTTATAATCCTCTCGTACTCTCTCTCGTACTCTTCAGTCCAACGAACCTTTGTGCCCTTACTGCGGGGGGGGTTATTTTGTGTTACTGCTCGTAACAAGTGGCTATTATTGGTCCTGGGGCCATCTCCCCAGGTGGCGTTGCTGTACATTGGGCTATTATCCAAAAGATTAATTATATTGTTGTACCCTAACCACTACACCGCCACATGAGCACGGCTCTATCTCTACATTTGATCCATATCCACATTTTTTTATGCACCTAATTGTGCCTGACCAAAGCTGCAGTACTTAACTTTCAAACCACAACAACCGAACAATTAGAGAGTGAAATTAGAGATTACTCGCTCTCACTCAGTTCTCACACGTAGAAGATGTTTTCTAATAAGATAAAGACAACATGTGTTTGTAAAAACACAAAGCTAAGTACTCCAGCTTTAAAATTAGACGTTGTTTTCCTATATCCTCATAGTTTGCATTGGAAAACGTGTACATTACTCAGGTCAACAGCATCTGTTCCAGTTAAAGCCTGGCCTTTACAAAACCACGTTATGTAGGGAGCAGCACTGAGAAAAGTTCATGTTTTTCATATTATTGTCTAATGTATTCCACCACAAGTTCATGGTTTATGAATCCAGCGTCTTCATGTGGGGCCCTTAAGGCAAGACAAATGGAGCATGGAGGTTGAAAATTAGCGAGGGAGCCCACATTGGGGTCTGCTATATGATTGACCGTATTGACCACAAGCCTGCTGTGATGAATCAATCACAACAAACCTTGAACTTGTACTGAATATTCATCACAACTCATGCATTTCATATTTTTACTTTCAGCAGTTCAAGTTGAGTCACGCAGGCATCACAAATCAGCCTCCTCTGTAGCCATCATCATGTGCCCACTCAACACAAGAGGGTCTGGACACACTTTTGATTCTGTCAAGTCTTCACCACAGTCTTGTGCTTCTCAGTTCTGCCAAAGCCCCTTCACATGCAGCTATTACCCCTGCAAGCATGGATAACGATCAGATAGAAGAGCAGATGTGCACAATGTTAGATTTCTAGATTGCCAAATAAGATAAGATAGACTTTATTTATTATCTCACAATGAAGAAATATACATGTCACAATTGGCATAGATAGAATCACTCAGTGCAAAAACAGGAAGTGAATCTAGATTTGCTGATTTTTAACAGAAATACTCTAAGGTGCATTGGACCCTTAAAGTGACGTACAACAGGTTATTGTTTTGTGCAGAAAGAATTTTCACTGCAAAAAGTGAAATTTGCCTAAAATTCATCTAAATTTGAGCACATTTTGCCTTTAAACAAGATTAGCCAATGAAATAAACAAAATCGTCTTGTTTTAAAAAGATACAAGAAATATTTCCCTTAGAATGAGAACAAAATGCAACATAAGACTAAGGGTTGTCCCATTGGAAAATCTTGTTTTAAGACAGTCAGAATTATCTCAAATAAAGATAAAACTACTCAATTTAAGCAATTATTACATCATATTAAATCCCTTTTTGCAGCGTTGAACATGATGTAGTTTTGCCCCAATAATGCCACATGGTTAATTTATAGGAAACCCATTGTTTGACTATTCTAGAGTCAAACAATCTAAGAAAGTGAATTGCAGTAGTCTAACCTACTGGAGACAAATGCATGGATAAGAATCTCCAAGTCTGCTTTAGACACTATGTTTTTGAGCCTGGCAATGTTTTTTAGATGGTAAAAAGCTGCTGATGTAACTGATTTGATGTGGCTATTAAAATTTAAGTCTGACTCCAGTATTACCCCTAGATTTCTGACCTTGTTTGAAGGTTTTAGGGAGAGAGACTGGAGGTGACAGATGACGCTCTCTCTTTGTTTCTGGGGACCAAAGACAATCATTTCAGTTTTGTCTGCGTTTAGCTGAAGGAAGTTGTTTTGCATCCACTCACTGATCCGTGGATCTACAACCATAAAGTAAAATCATACATCTCAAAAAACAAAAACTGGGATAAAATTTCAAAAGATTTCGACCAAATTCCCATATGTAATTACGTGAAAATGTTGTGTAATCTGTCATGAAACTGACAAACTAATATTAGACTAACCAGAGCCATGTGATAAGTGGAAATAATAGGTTTCCCATATCGCAATGAACTCCAGGACCTTACATTTGTCAGAAGCATCGTGTGTATCAGAAATAGCATCATTTTTCACACGTACTCAATGCCAACGTACACGCATGACAGATGGCATGAATGTCACTGCTTACAAGCCACCAAGAGGTCAACTGTCTGAAGACTGAATAAATATGCCACGCCGCTGCTCAGCTCGGTTGTCTCCCATGCTGGCTTAGTTTTATGTGCTTAGAAATGTAATTAATTCGGCCACACTCCGGACTTTAATGTTGTGTGCGTGCCCAATTTGTCAACAAGCCATTTTCACTCTCATTTCAATTAACTGTAGATTGACAAGGCTTTGATTACCCCTCCCCTAAAAGCATATCTCACAATTGACAAATGATTTATGTCTTGTGGTAGTGGTATAATCAAAAATAAAACAAGGTGACATGTTTTCTGCTCAGAGATGGGGAGCTTAGAGGTGGCTTAACCGCCTTGCTCCAGAATATGTGTTTGTTGTTCCATCAAATCCATTTTTCACAGTGCTGAATTAGTATGAAGTGCATCACAATTGTCTTTATTGGCTAAAGCAATAAAAACATTCAGAATGGAGAGTTTCTAGTTGGTGTTGCAGCAAGAAGCCAATACAGTCAAGTGTATTTTTTTTATTATTATCAAAGCATTCTACAGAAAGTACCCTTTGTTTTAATTGATGGCAATGACATAATATTCAACATTTATGACTTGATAAAAGGTGAGAGGTGTAACATAAGTTTTCCTTTAGAGAAATGTGTTGGTTTATTTTCCCATTGAGGAGAACGGATTGACTATATGTCCAGGTGTAATGGAAAAGCTGACTGCTACGGGCTTCAGGCTTAAGGTTACAATGGAGAATTTGTAGCAGTGCCTGAAAATTGCCTCTCACTCACGGCCTTCCCGCCGCACTTTGACAAGTCCAGTTTTACAAGGAAGAATGGAGGTGCAACCAGAATGAGAGAGATTGGCCTAGCTCTTGTGTTGATATGAACTCAATTATCTGCAGAATTTTGCGGTTTCTTTTTGCACACCACTCATTCATTTCCAAGGACGCGCTGCTTCTAAGCTTTTATTAAACACACACTAGAACATTTAAAATAGAGAGTGCATATAAAGCAAGTATAAGGAAATAATCAAACATGAAAGGCTGCACGCTGTGAGTTATTTGTGCTGGATATGACTAATGCCACCATGGCCAAACACTGAGACATAACTCATTAGAAATTGCTAATTGAAATATTGTGCATCAAATTGTTACACACTTGATTTATGTACTGTACTGTACAGAGAGTGAGTGGAAGTATTGTTGTGTATTCTTGTTGGTGGATATAGCTGTAGGTTGTGTAGGTTATGACCATAGACTGTAAATATCTTTCTAACCCAGCAGGATAGGTCTTAATTTTATTTATTTTATTTTATTTTATTTCATTTGTATTGCTATTTTTATCCTATCCTTTTTTTCACGTTGATATACATACAAAATAAAAATTCTGTATGTGTTACTGTATGATATTGTTCATGTAAAACTGTGCTCTTGAATCTAAATTGAAGCGATTATGGATTTGTGTTAATGGCCAGAAATTAATGACTCAACGAGCGCAAACCTAGAGCGGTGGAAGTAAGAAAGTAAAGGTGTGACTGTGTTTTCTTTGCGTTCGGCTGCATGCTTTGTTTTACTTCATAGTTTCTCACCGGAAGTCAACTATCGCACATCAGTCCATTGACTTGGAATAAAAGCCGACGCGCCGCGATCACTCGTCACAAACTCACTGAACAAAAGCCCGTCTCCCGTGTGTCTTTTTTGTTTTTCTTTTACAAAAACAGGAGCACGTTATATCCTCTACAAGTTCAACCATTCGGCAGAACAGCAGCAGTGATGCAGCTATTGCACTTTGGAGACTGATCCTCTCTGGAGCGCCTTTACGCACGGCACATCCCCGGAGCGTTTCGCCACATACACGCAGAGTGGATACAGAGCGTGGAGGATGAGGTACGGCTGTGTGGTCCTCACCGCAGGCTTCAATGGATTGTTAAGTTTCTCCCTTCTGGCTGTGGCTATCGGGACTGATTATTGGTATATTATTGATCTGAATAAACCCAACTCCACAGCGTCCGAGGACTATAATTCACATTCTGGACTGTGGAGAATCAATGAAGGTAAGGGAATTTAAAGAATGCTACGTTTGGATCAATATAAACATTCACAAACTTCAGAATTGATCCAAATGGTTATACCTCTCACAGAAGAGACAAAATAAAAATAAAACTGCAATGTTAGGCGTATACTGTTGCTGGAATAGGACCCTATATCATGCTGGGTTGCGATAATGGCTTTCTAAATGGTCCAACATGTTGCTCCTGGCGATGCCCAAGAGCGCACGCCTAAAGAAAGACTGGGGATATTTTGTTCAACGTCCAAACTGACGTGTTGGTGTTCCTTAACTTTACAAAGACGTGATTTATGCACTCAGAAGCTCTAGCGAAATAAAATTAATGGGACAAATTCACCTGATAATTCTGAAGGCCACTTGCACAGTCTGTTAAAATGGTGCGTGTGCATTTCCCACATTAAAAGCAGAGTGAATGGGTGAAAAAGGTGGGAGTATTTTTCAAGGGCCGACTTTCCCTTGGAGATTGAGAATGCTTTAACCTTTCTCTGTGGCATTTTTCAGGCGCAAACAAGAGCTCAGTCATCCCGTCCTTCATGGCCAACACGTCGAGCCTGTCAGATGTGGAAAAGGATCTTCTCAGTGAGTGCCTCTGCTCTCACCTGATAAAGCCCAGTCACGTATCCATCCCATTTATAACAGACAGCAGCCGGAGATGGACTTCCTCACTAGATGTTGGGGTCATGTGGACACTGTGGGAAGAAGCAGTGGGAGAAACTGTTAAGATTAAGTTTTCAGGGTTCATGCAATGATCAATGGGGTATAATAATAATTGTGGATTACCTCACGCCATGTAGTTGGGAATGCAAAAAGGGAGCATATGGAGGACGGTGTATCTGCTGTGTTAATTTGTATAAGTAAGTAAGTCTTTATTTATGCGGCGCATTTCACGGACGATGGTCACACAAAACACTTTATCCCATTTACTGCACACACAGTGAACAGAAGCACCTGGCGCACCAGATCCTCCAACCATCACCATCTGACCATCACCATCCATCACATTCATTCCAAGTGTACATATTTTACGTGCTCAATGTGCAGATCATTTTTAACAGACTATGTAAAATTATTGAAATATTAAGATAAGATAAGATAAGATAAACCTTTATTAGTCTCACAGTGGAGAAATTTCAGTGTCATCGTTGCGCACATTACAGCAGAGAAAGGAAATAAGAGCACTCAGATTGCACACATCAAAGTCTATTATTTAAGATAATAGACAATAAATTTAAGATAAAATAAGAAACTCTGGGCTATAATTGCACTTGGTTCGGAGTATTTACTGATGTCTATATTATACATTAGCAGCAGAGAATATGAGAATATGAATATGAGCAGAATAAACATCAGAAATAATATCAACAGGTAAAGTGACTTGAATGGGAGAATTATCAGATGGATATGAATAATACAGTAAGATATCAACAGGTAAAGTGACGGTGAAAGGCAGAATGATCAGATATGAAATAATACAGTAGTACTGATAACAGTAAATATCAGATATGTAGTACTGTAGTAGTACTGATAACAGGTAAAGTGACTAGTGACAAGTTACTAGTGAATTATCAGTGACACTTGTGCAGACTCAGCAGTTCCTGTTACACATTCTCGTTGTACAGTCTGACAGCAGCAGGAATTAAGGAATTATTTCCGTGCTTAGGCCCCAGCAGAAAGGCTGGGTTGTGTGGCTGATTTGAGATGAATTCCCAGACCCCTGTAGGGTCTGGACTGGCAATAAAGCTCAGAGACAGAGGTTGAGGCAGGATGGATTCAGGTGCAGCTGGACTTATAGGAGGATGTTCAAAACTAGGAATCTAATGAGTGAGACTGATGCAGTTGGAGGTTGAGGATGGATTGGTCGGTGACAGAGCAGGTCGCTAAAAGACACAAGGCGAGTCAGAGAGGATGAAGGAGAGAGTGGCAGGAGGAGTCTTCTTGAACCTTTGCTCTATGTTCCAGAACAGGAGTCAAACTCATTTTTGTTGCGAGGTAAACTATAAAGCTGGTCACAGAAACAGCTGGTCACAGGCTGAAACTTTGTAACTGGTTTTCTTAGTGGAAAGTTAGGGATAAAATGACCTTTATTTGTTCACATGATGAAAGCATTTTGCCACGTTTTTATAATTTTTAGGTCCTTATTCTGAACAAAATGAGTCCAGTTACTGTTTGTTTGGATTGAATCCAAACTGGACTAATGGTAATTGTAGACTGATATTTCAATGATTTATTTTAATGTATTGTATTTTTTTTTCCAGATATTTATTATATTATATAGTATATTCAAATACATAGGTTAGCATTTTAAAATGAAATAAATTGCATGTTTGTTTTCTTGAGGAAACAAGATTTAAGATGAATACCATGTCCTGCAATAATTGAGCAGTTCTGAGATATTTCTAGTTGCAAACATCTTTATCAAACAGCAATTTGTTTTGAACTCTTGAATAGTATCACTTTGAAAGAGTGATCCAGTTGAGCAACAGCATATAAAATAGCAAACCATTGTGAGATGACACTATCACGAAAGATTACTCTGTGAATGTCAAAAGGATCGGAAAATGGCTCTTGCTATTGCCCAGTTTTTATTAGCTTTCTTCTAACGGTGGTAATGAAAAACAATGGCTCCCTGGGTGGCTCAAATCCACTGAAACCTCAGCAGTTTTCACAAGTAGTTGAATTGTCAGCATGGGTGTAGAATCCTCTATGCAAAAGACAAAAACATGAGACTGAAGGCATTTGCTTTGGATTGCAGCTCTGCACAAGATGGTGGTGATCCTGCTGCCTCTCAGCCTCATCCTGCTGGTATTCGCTTGGATCGTTGGACTCGTGAGCTCCTTGGCCTGTAGTCCCAAGCTGCTGGCCGGATCAGCAGTCTACATTCTCTTCTCCAGTAAGCCTTTTTTCCCCAAATAGTTTCCGCTATAACATAGTCAATATCTTTGGGCCATACTGTATTAGTGTCACATAATAAACAGCTTTTGTTTTTACAACAACATATGTGTACAGGTGAAACTCTGACAATTAGAATATCGTTCAAAAGTTCATTTATTTCTGTGATTCAAATTAAAATGCATGACCTATAATCGGTAAAGAGTCAGTGCATATAAGGTGACATATGCCAAGCCTTTTGTATTATCATTTTGGTGATTATGAATAAAGTCCATTTTCAAAATATTCTAATATCTGGAATGGTTTTTGGGGGGTTTCACAAGCTGTGATCCAATTATGTAAGCAAGCAAGTAAGAAAGTAATCTTTAGTTATATAGCGCCTTCCATAGACCAAAGTCACAAAGCGCTTAACAATTGTTGTGGGAATTTGTCCTCTCACTCTACACTTGCTGTACAGGAGGTGAATGCCAGACCTATTGTACATGGAAGGGGAAATCGGAGCACCCTGAAAAAACCTACGCAGACATGCGGAGAACATGCAAACTTCACACAGAAAGGTCTGGAGGTGGAGCCCAAGACCTTCTTGGTGTGAAGCACAAGTGCTAACCACTGCACCACTGTGCTGCCGATGGTGCAGTGGTTAGCACTTATGAACATTATAACAAATCAAGGCCTGTCCTGACTCTGACTTATATTAGTTGAACATTGTACGTTGAATTACAGAAGCTTTGACCGAATTTCATCTATAAATGTGTCCTCATCCACATTCCGTATCCGTATCCATGTACCTTATACAAATAATTATTTTGGGACACATCCATTATACTTTTAAATATAAAGCGGCAGGAAAGAGAAGGATACCTTCAGGACAGGGCGAGCGGTTGGGGAGGGGTGTAGGGTCAGAGTGTGTGTGTGTGTGTGTGTGTGTGTGTGTGTGTATTTACACACACAGTGCCTCTGCTGTGGTATGGAAGTTTTTTGTACTATTTTTTAATAACTGATGTAAAATGTATTGTCTGTGCAGAGTGAGTGAGGCGGTGTGTTCTGCATGTTCTGAAAAAAAAAAATGTATTGGCAGTATACAAAAACAATCCCAATGAAAACAAGTCATCTGATGGCAGCCATTGCTGTCATCAGAGAAAGATTAAAATCTATGAAAAAACCTGCCGTATTCATCTTATTAAAAAGAGCCTATTTGAAATCTTGGGCAGAGAGCTGACTGACTGAGTGAGGGTGGTCCTTGTTTTTCTTTCACTTTTGTGTCTGAAAAAGTGATTGAAACTAAAAATACAAGGATGTGAGAATGAGTGAACCAAACTGTTTTAAGAGCGACGAGATAACAATGGATTTACATTCCTTTAGTTCGTTATTCAATCAAAAATTTCCAGTGTAGTATTCTGAAACCTGTGGTGTTGAAGTTGCATTAGGATTATCCAGCATCATACTGAACCCATAACCACATCTCAATTACCTCAGATAATTTGCTTTAATCTATTTCCTGTACAAATCTTCTGAAAAGAAGAGCTGTGTGCTTTGTTCACTCTGACGCACTAATAGCGTTTGAATGGCTCTTCAGTTAATATACAGCCGTATAATTTGAATAACTCGCTGTCCCATCGTTTTACACAATATTCCTTTTCCCGTCTGTAATGTTTCAGATGAGACATGAACGGAACCAGTGGTATTGATCAGCGCATTAGGAGTGATTGCAGAGAGGAGTGGGGACCAAATTGCAGAGGATTGTGGTGACTTGATTGCCTCTACAAAAATGCCATCAGTATAATCAGCTTGCTCTAATTTGAACTCCAAGCGCATAAACAGAAAGCTCCATAAAAGATCACATCCACAATCCATCACACCATTTTTGACTCATTCCTTGTGGGGTTCTTTTTTCCCTGATTGTACTCATGCTGTTGAAAGTAATCAAACCTAAAGTAGAGCATACAGTACGGATGGTGGCTTTTACTGTTACTTCACCATTATGTACTTGGTTTCCACAGCAGCAGCCAACACAAAGAATAGAAAATTATTTATAAAACACACGTCTCAGCCTCCACCACGCTTCAGTTTTCATGAACTTATCAAATTGGCCTTTTGACCTTGATTTCATGGAGCAGTATAGAGACAGGAAATCACAGCACAGAGGGCAGGGGGAGACTGCCTTATGGCCAATATGAAGGCGCTTTGTATGGGTTCTGCTAGATTTACTGTTGGGGTCTTGCTAAAAATGATCCATCCATTAATTTTCTTTCCCTTAATCCATTTCTGGGTTTGGGGGGTGGCAGTCAGAGCTGTTCCCAACTCGCAGAGCACTACCCCCTTCACTGATCCTCCTGCTGGTGGTGAGTCCACAGGAGCACGGCTGCTCTGTCTGTGAGAGAATAGCCTTGATTTCTCAGTTGGGGCTTCAGGCAAAGTCAGGTTAAGTGTCTTGCCCAAGGACATAACAACACCAGACATCAATGGGAGTAGGTGGAGAGGGTCTTGTGGTGGGCTTGAATTAACGACCTTTAGGCTCAAAGGCCCATGCTCTATCAACTGAGCTACAGATAAAAAATGATCTAAAATAAAAAAATGTTTTGTGCTCGATCACAGTTGAGAAAGCAGCCAGCTTTGTGTTGTCCGTAGTGAATGGTTGCTTTTTGCAGCAGCGGTGGAGAGCATATAATAGAGCTGTCCACCTCAGTGACAGCTATAGTCTCCATGCATCAGAGCAGAAGGCTCATTCCAGAACTCATAACAAACAAGCAAATCAGAAGAATTGGCAGAATCATGTTTGCGACGATTTTGTGGAAAACAACATCTACACAATGTTGTTAAGAGATTCCTTCAGGGCTGATTTTTATTAGACAGATAACAAAGAACGGAAATTTGTTTTTCGTGTCTTAGATGATGGATGCACAATGACGCGGACATGGATTTTAGAAAGGCTCGTGGCCATTTTGTCCAATTCACATACAGGAACTTGCTGGCATGTGGAATACATGACATTGATCTGGACCTAAGTGGAAAACACTCTCGCTTATCAGAAAGAAGGTCCTGGGTTCGAGTCCCGGTTTGAGTCCTGGTCAGAGTGGGGCCTTTCTGAGTGGAGTTTGCATGTTCTCCTCCTGTCTGCCTGGGTTTCCTCCGGTTACTCCGATTTCCCCTACCACTAAAAACATGCACAATAGGTATGGATGTAATGAGTGAATGGATGGTGTTGGTTGGAGGCTTCGATGCTCCAGTGTGTTCAACTTCTGTCATCACCGGGTGTGGAGCGTTTGCAACAATCTGAACTCTGAACATTGTAGAGCGCTTTGAGTGACCTTGGTCTGTGAAAATGTGCTATATAAATAAAGATGAATATAATAATAATAATGCATCAGTTTTCTAATTATAAATAAATATAATTATATTTTGGACACTCATAGACGCTTCACATGTCATTATTCATTCTCTTCAGTAGCCAGAGCTGCCCTGGGGCACAATGACAGAAGAGAGGCAACCAGTATGTGCCATCGGCCCCTCTGACACCCACCAACCATTCACACACACACCAGACTCATTCTAGGCAATGTGAGTGAAGTGTCTTGTCTAAGGACACAACGGCAGTTTTGCACTTTACAGCCGCAGCCGCCCCACTGTGGCATCAGGTGTTCCCAGGGGTTTAGTGTCTTGCCAAAGACACAACAACAGCAGACATCAGTGGGGGACAGTGGATAAAGTCCTGTGGTGGACTCAAACTCACAACCTTCAGGCTCAAAGGCCAATGCTCTACCAACTGAGCCACTGTCACCATTGCTTACTTACTTACTGATATTGTTATCATTGATGTGAGGCATGTAGTGTAGGTGTGTATTGTCTGTGTATGACAAATACACACAGCTGCTATGCTGCTGGGATCTTTACAGACATGTTTCAACTCAATCTGACATCAGACTGAAGACAAATGTAATGAAATATTGATCGATATTACATTCCTATTACAGAGGAGACTTTGTTTTTGCGTCTCCTCTGCTTTGCACAAAAGGTCATGCACGCAGCTGTTGGTGCAGATCGTTTGCTTTCACATTCACATGCGCTGTACTAACTCTTTTACATACAAGAGAAATGTTCAATACATTATAAATTGTTTAATCATTATGTGCTACATTTGGTCAATATTCCAGAAAATCTCATAACTCATGTCTTTAGAATGTGTAAACATCGTTTCTCATACTGTATATTCTTCAGGGTATATTTACAAGTTACATAATAGCTTATTAGTGACCTAATTGAGTAGCACCAGCCTCTGAGGTATCGCTGAGTGCACTACAGACTGTAGAGGCCAGCTATTATTACTACAGCAGCCATGAAGAAGATGGACATTAAAACAAAGGTTGTTCAACAAGGATAAATTACATGTTATTATTGTAATTAGCCTGACAAACTCTCAGGACTGGGCGAGTGATGCATACAGTACTATTCAGCTTCAAATTCAGCTTCAATCGATTAATATTATAAAATGTTATTTGTATTTGTCTCATAAGTAACTGTAAGTAACTTTTCAAAGGTATACAGGAGGATTTTAGGATAGAACCACTCTCTCCAGTTTTTTGTCTGGGTTCATTACAGGTGTTCCGAGAGGGAACCCAGTTCTCTCAAGTCACTGTCGGCATCACTCACACACGCTCCCTTTCCAAGACAATTTGCACTTTTTCCACTAGACAATACAGACGTATTCTCTAAGTAGAATGCCAAGCCTTACCATATCAAGTAGAAACTTTGCAACTGAAGCATCAGTGGGAAGCCCAACCTGGTGGAGGTTTGGAGCCTTGGCTTCATCTCTCTTCTGGGTCTTGTGTTATCCCTTGTGGCTGCAGGCGGCTCTCTTCTCCTGATGCGCACAGCTCCTCGGATGGTGCTTCCACCTGCACTTAGCCTCATGATGTCCTTGGTTTAAACCTATTTCCCCTTTTTATATGTGTGAGCGTGCTTGTCTGTAAAGTTAGATATAGTTCTCTGTTGCCTGGGGGTTATTTGGGGTGGGTCTGTTGGGTGGGTCAATTGACAGTTCATTGGGCATTGGTTTTTCAATTTTTTGTTTGAAAAGCGCTTAATAAAAACTGAATTGATTAAGTTATTGATGTTTTCTTTTTCAGCTATGACAGGTCAGCATCTTTTTCAATGCCATATTTACCAGGAGCAGGCTCGTGGGCACAGGCCCAAGAGGGTGGCTTCATTTAGCTTGATATAATGGAAATTGTATTTGTTTGGATTTAATCTTTCACAGTATGGCATCAGGGATTTTTCAATTAAAAATTATCCAAATTAAGTTTAAAGCCCCTTACCGATCCAAAGTACCCTGAAACAATTGTAAAACGCTTACATACAATGCGAGATGAGATTTGCTTTATTCTATTTTTATTGTCAGCCATCAAACTCCTGGAAATGTGAAAGATAAAATAAAGATTGTGTCCCTTGTAGTTCTGGTAAAATCAAACATTCTGAGATGAATCAGTTTGAACTCACATCTAAAATATAACCAACAACCCCCAACCACCAACCACCAAATATGCTGGATACTATGGAATTGTACATGTATCCCGTCTGGATCATTTTACATGTATTGTATTGTGTTGTCAAAGTCACAGCTCGAAGAGAATAGAAAAGTCTGCATGATGACATTTTGTACAAACAGTGAGTGATTTGAACACATTGCCTCTATCCCAGGTCTCTTTACTCTGGCTGGCCTCTGCATCTACATCCGCTACTCCAACCAAGCCATGGAGGAGTTCCAGCGCGTGGTGCCTCTGGAGGTCCTCGTCTATGTGCACACGTCTTTCGGGTGGTCCTTTGCTTCTGCCTGGATCTCCTTCAGTCTGGAGGTGATGGCGGGGCTGATCGTCCTGCTCGCTGCTCGGATCAGCCAAATGAAAGGACACTATGATTCAGGAGTAGCTATTGCCATGTTGTGAAGAACTTTTTCTCGTATGGAATCATGCTTTGCTTGGCACCACGTCCATTGAAATGTGCTGTTGTAAATCTGTCGATTGTCTCCACTGAACAAAACCAATAAGCAATTAAGGGAAACAAGTGTATCATGCAGCCAGCTCTCTGTTGCTTTGTTTGCTAAGTGTTGTCGCACCATATTGTTTTCCAAATTGGTGCTCTTACGAGGTATACTATGATTGTATGCTCATTTTTGTTGTTTAGAACAGATGCTTGGGGAAAAAAACAGACACAAATGTCCTCCTATTGGTAGATCGAACTTTTATTTTGTATTAAAGGTGCCTTGTTTGGGGAGGCTTCTGCTGCTACATTACAGCTTTTTCAGAATGTAAAGTAAAAGTCATGCACTCATCTCCAAGATTGTGACCTTTCTATTTTGTCTTAATATCATTTCATTAATTGAAACGTGTATTGAAAAATAAGTGTTAATGTAAATGACAACTCACTAGAACCAATATCATAATGCTGTGAAAACAAAAAAACTCTAAAGACTGTGAATGCACTCACGACTTCCTGTTACTTTATGAGGACAAATATTTCAAAGCCCCAGTAATGTGCTCGAAACACTGCTGATTTGTTCTCTGTGCTGTCCATAAAAACAGTGAATGGGAAATAGAGCACTTAGCTGTACTTCTGTCTGCCTCTGCACCAGGGCTCCAGAGTGCACCCAAACGCTGGCCTCTGCACCTATAGCTGAAATCTCTAGATACACCTGCTTGGTCTGTCTCTATAACGCTGGCTACAGCCCAGCGATGGTCTCAAACAAATTTGACACAATTCAAACACATTAAATATTGATATATATTCAAGCGTTGTTGACTAATATGGTGAAATTAATACACTCTCTCAAGAAACATTTGATTAATCGTGATACAATATGTTTAATGTCTGGTGCACCTATAATAGTGCTATTGCACCTGAGTGGAACATCCAAAAGGATCTGGAGCCCTGCTCTGCACCACCTTCAGTTCAAATCCAAAGCAAAGCAATAGACGACATGTGCAACATGGAGACAAATATGATGCTTTGATTGTCTTGTTCACATTTATGTGTTTTAAGAAATATAATGTTCATGTTGTTGGTAAGTTATTACTGAAAACACAATTTGAGTGCCATATATCCTGATTCTTATGGTTCTGAATAAATGCAGGACTTTTGGGTGATTCTAATCGAAATGTCTCCACAGTATCTTTTCCAAGCAGTACAGTCGGCTGCACTGGGAGTGTGCCACTGGCCACGATGCAGTTTGGAAAACCCATTTCAACGTAGAACAAAAACATTTATCGATCACGTTTATCTTCCATTAAATGGAGGATATGTGTTGCTTACTGTAAAAAATAAATCACAATCACAACTGAACACAATGTGCATTCCCCGTGTCTGAACCATTTACATGCATTTAGACACAGAGGCTCATTAGTGAATTAAAAAGGGTTTGGAAGTTTAAGAGAGTCTTTAAAATTCTGCCATATCAGGTTCATTTCTGATTAGACAATGGAGCTATTAATATTTGTTTATCTTCGGGAATGCTCATGTGAACAATACACAAATATTTTTTGTCTTCAAATCTCCATTATCTTGAAGTACAAACCCAAATATCACACTATTGATCTAATAAAAGATTCTGCAGGTCTTTTTTTTAACAAATGGAAAAGGTTTAATTCTTTTAGGAATAAAAATTATTGCGAAAGTATATTTACTTTCAGAACACAAATCACCTGCTTGAAACATAATGGCTCTTTGACAGTGCAGTACTATCCTGAATAGGAGGAATATATTCACAATGATTTGCATAAAAATATAGTGTATGATACATAAAATAATTGAAATAACAAAACAGAATTAAAGCCGCAAGCGGCGTCGAATGGCCCTCGCCGCACCGCGCACACCACCCCGTGCCACGCCGCCTCGCACCAAGCCGCCCCGCACCAAGCCGCCCCGCACCAAGCCGCCCCGCACCAAGCCGCCCCGCACCAAGCCGCCTAGCACCAAGCCGCCTAGCACCAAGCCGCCTAGCACCAAGCCGTCCCGCACCACGCCGCCCCGCACCAAGCCGCCCCGCACCAAGCCGCCTAGCACCAAGCCGCCTAGCACCAAGCCGCCTAGCACCAAGCCGTCCCGCACCACGCCGCCCCGCACCAAGCCGCCTAGCACCAAGCCGCCTAGCACCAAGCCGCCTAGCACCAAGCCGTCCCGCACCAAGCCGCCCCGCACCAAGCCGCCCCGCACCAAGCCGCCTAGCACCAAGCCGCCTAGCACCAAGCCGCCCCGCACCAAGCCGCCCCGCACCAAGCCGCCCCGCACCAAGCCGCCTAGCACCAAGCCGCCTAGCACCAAGCCGCCTAGCACCAAGCCGTCCCGCACCACGCCGCCCCGCATCAAGCCGCTCCTCCCCAAGCCGCCCCGCATCAAGCCGCCCCGCACCACGGCGCCCCGCACCAAGCCGCCCCGCACCAAGCCGCCCCGCACCAAGCCGCCCCGCACCAAGCCGCCCCGCACCAAGCCGCCCCACACCAAGCCGCAACGCGCCGCTCCACAACGCCCCGCACTACGCCGCACCACACCGTACCACGCAGCACCGCGCAAATGAGCTGGGGCCGCCGTGTGATGATTTGTTGCTGTTGCCATAGAAGAACGTTAGTCAAATTGTAATGAATATGATGATTAGAGCTGTTTGGCACCCCATGTAAAACTTTGCCTCAATCTGTAGGGGGCGCTATTGGGCCAATTTCAAATATTTCACTTTCACCTGACCTAAACCCTGGAGTTGAACATTGGATTCAAGTTTTGTGCAAATCAGACTTTGAGCAAAATTAATGTTGTGAAAAACGGTCAAAAAACACTCACATTTTGCCGCTCCGCTGCTCAAACAACGTTTCACTGATCAAAAATGACCCTTTGGTCATTTTGAAGGTACATGTGTTGAGATGATCTGAAGCGATTTTGAGGCCAATCGGTGAAACGGCCGAGGAGGAGTCGCTTTCCAACCGACATGTATGAAAATTATTGCGGATCATTTTTCCATTTTGCAGTGAAATTTATGGGCCTCCTGTTTGTCAGAGGGCGGGGCCATGACTACATTTTGGTCGTATCTTGACTTGAGGAACATGTGTACCGAATTTCATGGCTCTATGACAAACTTGACTTCTGAAACTCCCATTGGCTGTTGTAGGTGGCGCTGTTCGGGCATTTTTTGAGTCCCATAAAAATAAACATCAAAATATCAAATTTTTCACCAGGTCTAATGTTTGGGCAAAATGTTACAACTTTTCATGCATGTTCAGGGGGTGAAATTAAGGCTCAAAGTGCAGAATTTGACATCTCTCGAGCAAAAACAATAGGCCCTTTCCCCGTTCGGGGCTTAATAATTATAAAAGGCCTAGACAGTATAAAGTTGGGTAACGCTTTATATTAAGGTGTGCTTGTTAAGTATTAATAAGGTATTAATAGACATTAGCATCATGCTTATAGATTGCTTATATGTACTTATAAACATATTAATAAGCTGCTCATTTCACTATTCTCTAAATGATGTTGTACTAGTTATATGCTTTTAAGCATAAGTAAATAAGTAATTAGTAAGATACTTATTAAAGGAGGAATATGTTTATAAATATATGAATAAGCTGCTTATTAAACTATTATCGATACCATGTTAATAGGCCACTAACAATATGCCTATAAAGATATTAATAAGCTGCTTATTAATAGGTAATAGTGGTAATAGGCCACTAAAATATGCGTTAATAAACTGCTTATTACATTATTTTGCAGTACCCTAATCTAAAGCAAGGAGCATTTTTGTTAATGCAGAAAAAAACACAACATTGATCTAAGATGTTTTCATTTATTCAAACAGCAACAATTACAGTCTAAATGAAAAAATATATCAAAATTAAGTTTGTGCCAAAAGTTTGTTAGTAACTTCAAGGAGCCATGATGAACCCACTCATGCTCCGACCGGCTCTGCTAATGAATTTGGCTTTGGCAAAACAGTGAATCAACTGACTTCACGAGCCTGAGAGATTAGCGGAACTCGCCTATTTTTGGGCATCGTCTGGTCCTCCCGGTTCTGCGCAGTTGACGAGCTCCCATGATGCTTTGCGCCAAATACGCATGTGTGGCTGTCATGTACGTGCACAGAGGGGCCGTGCTCTAACCAATCAGAGCTGCTGATCAGAGTGGGAGTTAGAGTGGGAGTAAGAGCCAGACAAGTAGAGTTTGTGGCAGTAAAATGTGGATTTAAAGAAAACTGAAGGATTTAAGAAGAAAAAAAGTTCAGGATGACAAGGGACACTAAAATCCCCACAAAATCCGACCTTTATGAAAGCTGTAGGTTCTCTGTCAGCTGAGGTCGAGCTGTTTTAGTTTAAATTGAGTTCTATGGGACAATTTCTGGGTAGCCCACGTGAATTTAGTCTGCAGTACCCCGAGAATCTCCCAAGCTACAAGCTAGTAATACCCTATCCAGTTATTATAATAGATCCATGTATACAACACACCTGTGGCACAACCATGGAACTATAATAATAACTGGATAGTGTTTTCCTAGCTTATAGCTGTCCCACCCATGGGCACAGGGGGCGCTGTGGTACTGCAGACTAAATTCACGAGGGCTACCCAGAAAAAGTCCCATAGAACTCAATGTAAATTAAAACAGCTCGACCTCAGCTGACAGAGAACCTGATAGAGAACCCACAGCTTTCATAAAGTTCGCATATTTGGCGCAAAGCATCATGGGAGCTCGTCAACTGCGCAGAACCGGGAGGACCAGACGATGCCCAAAAATAGGCGAGTTCCGCTAATCTCTCAGGCTCGTGAAGTCAGTTGATTCACTGTTTTGCCAAAGCCAAATTCATGAACAGAGCCGGTCGGAGCATGAGTGGGTTCATCATGGCTCCTTGAAGTTACTAACAAACTTTTGGCACAAACTTCATTTTGATTTTTTTTTTCATTTAGACTGTAATTGTTGCTGTTTGAATAAATAAAAACATCTTAGATCATTGTTGTTTTTTTCTGCATTAACAAAAATGCTCCTCGCTTTAGATTAAGGTACTGCAAAATAGTGTAATAAGCAGTTTATTAACGCATATTTTTAGTGGCCTATTACCACTATTACCTATTAATAAGCAGCGTATTAATATCTTTATAGGCATATTGTTAGTGGCCTATTAACATGGTATCGATAATAGTTTAATAGGCAGCTTATTCATATATTTATAAATATATAAATGTATCTTACTAACTACTTATTAAATGCTTAAAAGCATATAACTAGAACAACATCATTTAGAGAATAGTGAAATGAGCAGCTTATTAATATGTTTATAAGTACATATAAGCAATCTATAAGCATGTTGCTAATGTCTATTAATACCTTATTAATACTTAACAAGCACACCTTAATATAAAGCGTTACCTAAAGGGGTTGTTTGTCTCTTTTGAAAGCTAAATTATTTCATCAAATATGGTCTACACTGCAGCTCCATAAAAGCAACCTCTTAGAAACTCCACTACCTTTCAATGTAACGCATACAGATCGTTCTATCTGGGACTAACGCATTAAAGACTGTGTGCGTGTGTGTGTGTGTGTGTGTGTATGTTTGTGTGTGCGTGTGTGTGTGCGTGTGTGTCCACTCAGCTCTTTGCTGCATGGCCCTATATGTGGACGCTATAGTTTGAGAAATAGCAATGAGGAAAATCCCCGCTCCTCACTCACTGCTAGGGGTTATATATTAAGCCCGACCAAAATCCCATTAAACTTTTATAGAAGAGAATAATTCAATCGGCTACGGGAGAGGAGCATGAGGAGTCAGGGAGGGTCATTACTCTCAGTCCAGTGCCCTTGGTCCTGACAGTAGACAGTCATTTTAACCACAGACGCCCTCAGATATTAAATTATAGAAACATTGTACATTTGAATAGGCTTGTATTCTATATCTTATATTCTTAGAATTTTTTTTTATGAGATAAAACAAATCTAGGAAAAACAATGTCAACACTAATGGCCATGTGACTGCCTGTAACTTCAGCAGTGTGTTATTCTTGTCTCAGCCATATTTTTTTCTCACCTGCTCCATTATGCCGCCATCCATGTCAGAAACCCCCCAGTGCGAGAAGGAGCGCTACTGCAGGGCCTTCATACCCACCGCTGTCAGACTGTACAAGAAGTTACATAAGTCTCTAATGACCTGCTCTAGGGGACTGGAAAAAACAGAACTGCTATTGCCACTTTTTATTGTGCATAATTATATCCTGCACAGACTACATTTTAAACCTTTAACATGTTTTCACACTTCTGTCTTCTTGCACAATCTGAGTGAGATCAATAAAGAGTATTTTATCTTAAAACATCTCACCTCCATCAATAACTTCCATATCACATTGTATTATGGTATGAGCTCTTTTTATCAAATGATATTCTTCTACACCAGTTAACATGTTGTAATGTTTCGTTTCGGATTACACATTAGGTTAAAAATACAGAATTCACATGAAAATCTGTCCAATGACCCGGTCAGTGCTTTAACAAAAACAAACAATTACCAGTTGATTTGCAACAATATTTCACAATTATGGCCTCAAATATGATTTCCTCCGACCATCTCCTGTTGATAATAACTACATGAGATTGTATTTATCAGAAGCCAAGTGATTGGTATAAGCAGTATTAATGAGAAACGGGATGAATTCAGAGATTTCAGAGATTTCTAATTATGACATGATTGTATGGCAGTGTTTCCCAAAAAGGAGTTCAAGGACATTTAAGGGTTCTTGAGCAGAGAAGATACAACAGTGGTGGCTCATTATAGGGCTTTTGTGCACCAGACATGTCCTGGAGCACGTTGGCTGAATGAAATGACACGTCTGTCTTCGCTGCGACCTTTCTGATACAATAACAACGTCTTCTTCACAGCAAAACTACGTCCAAGGAACTGAGGTGAGTTTTCATGTGTCTTCCTTCCCGCAAATATATGCAAATTAAGATGTTTGTGGAGTTTGGATGAATGCATTTAGCTGACCGTGGTCTTTTAAATATGTATTGTGGTTTATTCACGGAGACTTCCCCACTGCACCAATTGGACAGTTGATACATGAAAGGACCCATTTACGTTTGGACCCAATTTCATTCACAGATGAAGGTATACTGTAAGTGCAGACTAGAGCTGCGGGAAAGATCAAAAGGTCGCAGAACTTCTCTGAGTCTCGATTTCCCACACAGCCAATCAATGATGCAGCAGTATCGGAGCGAGGGGTTGAAAAGGTGTTGCACTCAGTTCGCACGGTTCGCACTGAAACTGTGGACTGCAGATTGTCTTGCTGCAGTTTTGTGCCAGGCTGTGACTCCCTCCGGCTGCTGAGCTCTCTGCATACAGCCCTTTGAAGTTACAAGAGCATGTGTTATTACTGTAATCAAGCAATTGAACAGGGAGAGGGCCAGTCGCTGTGACTCCCCTGGTGATGTTGTATTGTGCGGAAAGACTGTGACAATGCACAACTTAAGTTAGGTGCAAAAATATACTTGCGCCCCCCCACTGCTGAATATGACTTATAGCAGTAATACCTTGAAGCGCCAACATATGTGTTCAT